AACCAACATATAGGGGGTTGCCCCAGTTGATGTGCGGACTGTGGTGCGGTATCCCAATAAAGCAAATGATAACTTCTCGTGCCACTGTTTATGCTTCTATATCATTTTCCTCAATATCTTCTTGATATTCTTATTGGCGGCTTCTACAACTCCATTCATTTGAGGCCTGTAAGCTATGGAATTCTTGTGTCTGATTTTGAAAGACTCACACATGACTTTCATCAAGTCACTATTGAGGTTAGAGCCATTATCAGTAATGATTAACTCTGGAATCCCGAATCGACAGATAATGCGGTCGCGGACAAAGTCTGCCACTACTTTCTTAGTCACTACTTTGTAGGATGCTGCTTCGACCCAAATGGTGGAATAGTCGATAACCACTAGGATAAACATGTGTCTGTTGGATGTAACAGGCTCAATTGGTCCAATAACATCCATTCCCCAGGCGGCAAATGGCCACGGTGAGCTTGTTGCATTAAGCTTATTTGGATGTACCTTTATCTTATCTGCATGTATCTGACAGCGGTGGCATTTTCGGACATACTGGATGCAGTCTGTTTCCATAGTCATCCAAAAGTAACCGGCTCGGAGTATCTTCTTTGCTAAGACAAAACCATTCATATGCGGACCGCAGGTCCCGGCATGATTCTCTTCTAGTAGCTTGGATGCTTCCTTTGCGTCGACACACCTTAGTAATCCCAAATCAGGAGTCCTCCTATATAGGATTCCTTCGTTGTGAAAGAAGCTGTTGGACAATCTCTGAAGTGTGCGCTTTTGAGTAGGATTTGGAAGCTCTAGGTACTCTCTTTTTGCCAAATATTTCTTGATATTATGAAACCAGGGCTTTCCATCTGCTTCCTCTTCGACATAGGCACAATAAGCTGGCTGATCATGGATCTTTACTGGAATGGGATCAATGAAATTCTTGTCTGGATGTTGTATCATAGATGACAGGGTAGCCAATGCGTCGGCGAACTCATTCTGAATTCTGGGAACATGTTGGAACTTCGTCTTTATGAACCTTTTCCTCAGTTCCTATACATGACACGGATACGGGAGTATCTTGGAGTTCTTGGTTGCCCATTCTTCTCGCACCTGATGTATGAGCAGGTCCGAGTTTCCAATTACTAGCAGCTCTTGAATGTTCATGTTAATGGCCATTTTGATCCCTAAGATGCAGGCTTCATACTCGGCCATATTGTTGGTACATGGGAACCTGAGTTTGGAAGACACCGGATAATGCTGACCGGATTCTGATACTAGGACTGCTCCTATGCCAACTCTTTTGAAGTTTGCTGCTCCATAAAAAAACATTCTCCACGGCGTGATGAAATCTATTTTCTCAGCGTCCTCTTCATCAATCCAGATCTGATGATAACCAGCGAAACAATCTACAAATGACTGCAGCTCATGTTTGGCACAATTGTCAATCAGGATGTGTATGTTCGGCAAAGGGAAGTCGTCTTTCGGGCTGGCCCGGTTGAGATCCTGGTAGTCGACACAGACTCTGACCTTTTTGTCCTTCTTTGGTATCGGTACGATATTGGCTAACTATGTCAGGTATTCTACAACCCTGAGAACCTTAGCTTTGACTTGCTTAGTGACTTCTTCCTTGATTTTCAAACTCATATCAGGCTTGAACTTTCTGAGCTTTTACTTTACCGGCGGACATATTGGATCGGTTGGCAGTTTGTGAGCCATAATAGACGTACTCAGACCAGTCATGTCATTATACGACCAGGCGAATATGTCCTCACATTCCCTTAGAAATTCTGCGTATTCCTTATTTTCTGATGGTGATAAGTGAACGCTGATTCGTGTTTCTTTGACGTTCTCTGTATCCCCTAGGTTAACAATTTTTGTCTTGTCCAGGTTGGTCCTAGGTCTGTTCTCAAAGTTCTCAACTTCTTTGACAATCTCATCTGGTATGTCATCGTCCTCTGAATCAATGTCCATTTGTTGCGTTGTCTCATTGCATGTTACAGTCATTAGTTCATCAAGATACGTAATAGTAATATTGTATAAGTAAAGTAATGAGAGAAAAATAATAATGAGTGTTGATTCATAAAAAAAGTCAAAATGCTTTGATAAATTGCATAACTGTTTTGAACATTGGAGATCTTATTGCGAGAATTGAAAAAAAATGTGAAAAGAAAATTATTTAGTAAATAAAAAATAGTGCATGGTGCTTGTTTTAGCCTTGCTACCCCAAGGCTCGTCGGGCTCTAGTTGTCCTGATAGTCCAGTTATTGAGGCGTGCCCCTCTGCTCACAGCCTGTATGGAAGGGCCTTCCTCACCCTTCTCCTCGAGAACAACACAACAGTCCATGTCATTATCTTCTAAGAACAAGTTCTTCACCACTGCCAGTGCTTCTTGTTCGTATGACCCATAAACAATGTCGGCATGTTGGAAAGTCTGCTCCAAACGCGGTATTGGCTGCCCCAGTGGATAGTAAGGACGACGCCATGGTGGCGACCAGTTGTTGAATTCTTCTCAGGTATAGTCATATCCTAGACCGAAAGTAGTGTCATGCTTTCTTGAGATTTATGGGCTCAATGATTCCTTGGAGGTTCTTTCCGAGTCCCTTGCTAGGTTCGTACCCATTCCAATTAAGTATACTCTCAATTTTGTTATCCCACCATTTGTCTTTGTCAATAGCATTTACCCATTCAATATGGTGGTAAGTCTCTCCACTTAGCTTCCTTCTTCCTTCGATTGACGGAATGGTCTGGCGACTGTATATAGGGTGGTTACCGTCGCCGTGAATGATCATCTCTTGGTGGTTCCATTCGAAATTTACTACCTGATGTAGTGTTGATGCTACGGCCCCAGCGGCATGGATCCATGGTCGTCCCAACAATAGATTGTAATATGCTGGCATATCTATCACTTGGAAATCAACATCAAACCAGGTTGGTCCCATTTGCAAGCATAGACTAATCTCCCCAATGTTGGACCTTTGGGAACCGTCGAAGGCTTTCACATTGATAGCTCCATCCTTTATCTCGTGTAGTCCTTTAACCAGCTTCTTGAGTGTTACCAGTGGACATATGTCGAGACTAGAACCTTCATCGATCAAGATTCTGGTGATAAAATAGTCCTCGCATTGCACGGTGATATGCAGTGCCTTGTTGTGCCCCAGCTCGTCTTTAGGAAAAGTGATCTTATGGCTCTGCAACACTTGTCCTACCATGTTAGCCATTTCTCTACCAGTGATGTTTCTTGGTACATATGCTTCACTCGGCACCTTTAGCAGAGCGTTCTTGTGCGCCTCGGAATTTTGTAGCAAAGCAAGAATGGAGATTTGCACCGATATTTTGTTTAACTGGTCGATGACCGAGTATTCCTTGGCCTGTATCTTTCTCCAAAGATCATCTGGACCTATCTCAATGATGGATGGCCGGTTGGAGGCATGCTTGCATGACTCAACTAGATGTTCCGGGGTATAAACTCTACCAGTCTCGTCATACCTTGTGCGGCAACAGTCTCTTCGAACCTAACCTTGCCTTTCCTTCTTGCCTCGGTTGTATAGTCTCAGGGTACAGCCTTTGTATGGAATGGTGTCATGGTTGACATCGCCACTGGGATCGGTGTGGCTATCCTTACTCCGAATGGAGCACGTGCCTTGGGTGGTAAAACTATGACTTCAAACGGTGTGGGTGCATTTGCCGGAGACATGAATTCGACCTCAATTGGTGTTGGTGTCTTAGCTGACAATGTTGCTTCGAATTCAAGCGATACAGACAAGTTCACCTCAGCATCCTCAGATGGCTGAATTTGGACTATGATTGGATTGAGGGTAACTATTGGCTTCTTTGGGTCATCGCCTTCTGCGATCAACCCGATTGATCCCTCGGGATCCCAGTCATCTTCTATTTTAATCATGTGGATACCTCCACCCTTATAATCTGGCAGAGGGTTGTTGCGGATATTTGGAGCGGGTTCCTTTGCCGCAATGATCTTGTAATCAATCAAAGACTGGATCTTGTCTTTCAAAGAACGACATTCATCGATGGTGTGTCCTTTCATGCCGGAGTGATGTGCACATGATTTATTTGTGTTAACCCACTGAAAAGGGTTCTCAGGAGTTGCAGCAAGGATGGGGGTGACATAACCAGCAGCTTTGAGTATCTCATACAACTGGTTAATAGGTTCAGCAATGGCTGTATATTGTTTTGGAGGTCTACGATCAAAATTTGGTCGAGGTCTAGGGAAGTTTTGGCGGGAAGGAGGTTATTGATAGTGGGATAGTTGAGCATTGTAGGTTTGGTAGACATGTGCGGGTTAGGAATATCTGGGCAAAGTAGGCTGATATGTGGGAGGCGGAGGTGATTGATAAGTAGGTGGTGGAGCTTGATAAGAGGGTGAGGGTTCTTGGTAGTTCGGAGTGGGCTGATATGTGAGTGGAGGTATTGGGTAAGTTTGGTATTTGATAGGAGATTTGGTCCTTTGTGCAACCATCACGGCTCCTACGTCCCTTTTTTGGATACACCACCAGACTGCAAGGCCTTATTTGTAGCTTGCAAGGCCTCGAAGTTTGTAACCATACCGCTTTTGATACCCTCTTCAATCCTTTCACCCAGTTTGATAATGTTAGAAAATTTGTGGCTCTCGATCATCATTAGTCGTTCATAATACTGCGGGTCCTGAGCCCGGACAAAGAATTTATTCATCTGTTCCTCCTCTAACACTACAAAAAAATGAACTATTTGCGGGGTTTTATTTGTGGAGGTTTCTATTAACACCCGCAAATTGTATTAAATTGCTGGGGTCAGTTAAGCCGCCGAAAATTATCTTGTAATTGCGGCGGTCAAGACCTCTGCTAAATAAAAATAAAGAGCCCTAAAATTTTCCCACATTATTTTTCTAGTTTCCCTCCTTTTTTCCCAAACCCTTTTTTCTATTCTTTTTCTCTTTTAATTGCGGCGATCGTGACATCCGCTAAATAAAAATAAAGAGCGCTAAAATTTTCCCACTTTTTCTAGTTTCCCTCATTTTTTTCCCCAAACCCTTTCTCTATTCTTTCACTCCCCCAATCTGAAGGAAAACAAAAGAGCCATTGTTCCTCAAACCCTTTCCCACGTCTCAAAATATTAGCAGTGGAACTTCAATCACTGCTAATATTATTTACTATTGTTCAAGTAATCTGTTCTATTGGCATTGTTTTTAATTTTATTCAGGTAATATCTCTTATTTGAAGAATGGAGCAGCCATGGATATGGATTCTAGCTTGGAATTTTCAGATTTAAACTTATAATTTTTTTCGTTTCCCTCATTTTCCCCACTCCTTTTACTCATTCTCTGATTTTGTGTAATTTCTCAGATGTATTGCCATTTGCTTCAGTCAGAGTAATTTCTCCCCACAGGTATTGTTATATTTGCTTAAAGGTCTTTCTTTTTTCTAGCATGTTCGATTTTCACTACGATTTGAGTGTGTGACTGAAAGTATTTTGGTTTCTAAATATATGTATGCTTTTGTTAGGTATGACTGAAATTTTTTCCTTCTTTTCTAGTTCTTAGTAACTTGAAATTTGGGGTTAAAATTAATTTTTTAAGACACACTTTACAGTAGTGCCTTCACCACCCTCTGTTTCAGCAGCAACTGCACTTGGATCAACACCTTCGTCACCAATTTCTACAATAGTGTCCATAAGCTGCCGATTGATATTCTGTATCTCTTCAACTAGTTCATGATTAACCTGCAATAGATTACTAATTATTGTTAGTACACTGTAGGTACAAAACCCAAAAATTGACAGTATTTGTAGATTTGGGGTTAAAAAGCAACAGTAGCTTTGTGTGAATATTGTTCATTGTCTGGTAAGTGAGAAATAATTACTATTATTAACATTGTTTAATTTGTAAAATGTGCATTTGTTAAAGAGGATGCTTTTCTTTAATTATTATATATGACAATACTTATGGACTTATGAAGTGTGGTTTTCTGCCCTTGAGTATTATGTTTAAATTAAGTTGAAAAATCATAGACAAATTAATTTATGTTAAAAAAGCATATAATTTAGGAATATTTAAAACCTAACAACAGAAACTATCAAGTTTCCCCACTCTAATTTGATTTACTGACAGGTTGCAAAACTATTCTTATTTTTTATCGAACTCTCTTGCGCAAAAGAATCTTCATTGACAGTTGCACTTTGAAAATTTAGATCAATTTGTACTTTCTAATGGACAAGTCTTGGATTAGAATGCCAAGAACCTCAACAGAGTATTTGCTTGGTTTGAATCAATTTCTAGATTTTGCGTTTACGAATGGAGCTATAGAGATAAAATAAAATGTCCTTTTCCGAAATGTGGTTTTGGAAAGTGGCAGAGAAGAGGTATAGTGCTTGATCATTTTATTTGCAAGACATTTCCTCAAAATTATGCCACTTGGGTTCTTCACGGGGAAATAAATGTGTTGCAGAATTCTGGGAACGTAGAGGTCACTCAAGATGCACCACCTCCCGAAAATCCTATAGAATTGTTGATTAATGAAGCATTTCGGGGCATAGGGCATGAGGGCGTTGATGTAGGTCCATCACAAGTAGTGGAAGAAGAAGAAATATTAAATGATATTCCCGCTTCAAATAATAAAGACTTTTTTGAGTTGCTTAGAGATGGAAGTCAAGAACTATATGAAGGGCCTAAGCACTCAAAGCTAGAATTCTTGTTAAAATTATATCACATAAAGTTCTTGTTAGGGCTAAGTGACAAGGGGATGACTATGATACTAGACCTTCTAAGGGATGCATTTAACTTTGCAAAGATCCCTGATTCTTTCTATGAAGCCAAGAATACCATCAACAAGCTTTGTCTTGATTATGTCAAGATAGATGCTTGTCCAAATGACTGCATGTTATATTGGGAAGGTGATGCTAATGAGAAAACATGCAAGTATTGTCACACTTCTAGATGGAAGCTTAATGAGAAGAGAAACAACAATCAGGTGTCCACTATTGGTAAGAGGAAAGAGAAGAATAAGAAGAAAGAAAAGAAACCAGCCAAAATTTTGCGTTACTTTCCATTAAAACCAAGACTACAAAGATTGTTCATGTGCTCTAAGACTTGCGAGCACATGAGATGGCATGTGGAGGATAATAGCAAAGATGGAATCATGAGACATCCTAGAGATAGTGAGGCATGGAAGAGGTTTGATACAATTTTTCTTGAATTTTCTTCTGATCCACGAAATGTTCGATTGGGACTAGCTAGTGATGGTTTTAATCCTTTTGGGACAATGAGTACTAATTATAGCATTTGGCCAGTGGTTTTGGTTCCGTATAATCTTCCATCTTGGTTGTGTATGAAACAACCAAATTTTATCCTATCAATGATCATTCCAGGTCTGCGTACAGCAGGAAATAATATAAATGTATACCTACAACCCCTTATTAAAGAGTTGAACGAGTTATGGTGTGAAGGTGTGGAAACTTTTGATTCATCAAAGAATGAAACATTTAGAATGCAAGCAGCCCTTATGTGGACAGTTAGTGACTTTCCTGGACTTGATATCTTATCTGGTTGGAACACACATACTGGTTTTGCATGTCCCTCTTGTAATTTTGACACAGAACCTTGTCGACTTCGTCATAGTAGGAAGTGGTACTTTATGGGTCATCGTCGATTTTTGTCAAGAAATCATAAATTTAGATTGATAAGGCATCGTTTTTATGGTAATGTGGAGGAGAAGATCCCGCCAAGAAAGTTATCTGGTTCTGATATTTTGCAACAAGTGAAAGAACTTGATGTTACATTTGGAAGACCTGCGGCGTTGAATGATAGAAGGAAAAGAAATAGACAAAGGAATGTTGGGCAAAGTGCAACTCTGCAATGGAGAAAAAAAAGCATATTCTTTGATCTTCCATATTGGGAATTCAACTTATTGCGCCATAACTTAGATGTTATGCACATCGAAAAAAATGTGGTTGACAAATTAAATATTCTTTGCTAAATGATAAAGATAAATCAAAGGATCATGTTAAGGCTAGAAAAGATCTACAAGATATGGGCATAAGGCGTGATCTTTGGCCTGATGAGAATGAGGAATGTCGGCTTGCTACTTTTGCTATTCCAAAGGAGAAGAAAATTTCCTTCCTCAAAAATTTAAAGAATGTCTCAGTGCCAGATGGTTACTCAAGTAATATTTCTCGTTGTATTGATTTGGATCAAAAGAGGATCTTTGGATTAAAAAGTCATGATTGCCACATCATTATGGAACAATTGTTACCCATAGCAATTCAAAATGTGCTTCCAAATCATGTTGTTGCGGTCTTAGTAGAGCTTTCTTCCTTTTCTAGACACCTTTGTCGGAAAAGCTTAAGCCTCGCGGACCTCGAAAAGATACAAGATCGGATTGTACTCACACTTTGCCACCTAGAGATGTTGTTCCCTCCATCTTTGTTTACTGTAATGGTTCATCTAACTGTCCATTTAGTGGATAAAGTAATACAAGGTGGTCCAGTACATTATCGGTGGATGTATTTTATGGAAAGGTAAATTACTCATTTATTCATAAATTCTTTGAATTATTCTTTTAATAGTAATTCAAAGTAAACACTTATTCTAATACTATTACATTTTGGTTATAGACTATTAGGTCATTTCAAGTCTCTTGTAGGGAATAAAGCACAACCAAAAGGCTCCATAGCTAAAGGTTACATAGTTGAAGAAGCTTTCACTCTCTTTTCCCGCTATTTTGAGGATATTGAATCAAGGGTAAATAGGCCTAAACGTGTAAATGATGAACTAAATCATATTGAGCCTTCTGATATGTCATCTATGTTCCCTCGTCAAGGCAAACCAGTTGGAGGATCCTCCACATTCTGCTTGACTCCTTTGGAGAAGACTCAAGCTCATCGATATGTGTTACTTAACTGTGATGCCGTGAAGCCATATATTGAGTAAGAAATTTTAATTGATTAGATAATTGACAAAGGCTTTAGAGTGAAGCGATTAAAATTGTTACATTTAAATCCTTTTTAGTGAATTTAGGGAGCACATAAGAAGGAGTTCAAGAGGCCGAAGGCCTTCAGTAACAGAGATAGAGAGGAGAGATAATAGGGAGTTCCCTGATTGGTTTCCAAAGCGATTAAGTGTATTGTAGTATATTGTTTGTCTATGTATAGCTCTCTTTCTTGAATTTTAAATATTGACAAAAATAGTTTTGCTTATTTAGATTATGAATCCGGACATAGCAAACACGATCTCTGTTGACATGCAATTCTTAGCACGAGGTCCAATGCCAGATGGAAGGAGGTTCACTGCTTATTCAACTTTCGGACTTTGTCTAGAGAACAAGGATTGAAAACTCAAAATAGTGGAGTTTTTCTTACCTCTGACACTTCTTGTATTGCATCTAATGCTGATAGAAATGCAAGACAAGCAGACTTGCCATATTATGGAAATCTAGAAGATATAATTGAGCTTAATTATTATGGCCGATTCACAGTTGTACTCTTCAAGTGCCAATGGGCGGACACTACTCGAGATAGAGGATTCAAAAGAGACGTTTGGAATTTTCACTGTGTCAATTTTTCGAGATTGATTCATATTGGTGATCGTGAAGATCATGATCCTTATATTGAAGCATCTCAAGCAAATATGGTATACTATGTTGATGATGAAACTGACGAAGGATGGAGTGTGGCCGTACATCTAAAGCCAAGAGATTTGTTTGATATGGGAATGGCGGATGAAGAAGAAATATTCGAGAATGAACCATTCCAACAACAAGAATTTGAACAGTTTTTTGATGTTAATTATGAGAATATCCAAGTTTCAATAGAGTTTCATATGCCTAAATAGGATTTAGCTTTTCTAGTTTCTATGGTACATTTCTTGTGTTGAGCATTTTAACACTTTGTTGTTACGTAAACACCTATGAATTGAAGATTTACAGATGGTTATATATATCTAAATTTTGTTATGATTGGTTTAATATTTCTCTCTTTGATAAAGATATTTTAACATTTATTTGTTTTGTCTAGAAGACTTATAAAGTGCTAGTGAATCTTGGTTATAGATATGCCGAGGCCCCAACGTTACCAGAACTTCCAAAAGTCAGTTCAGTCAGTTTCAGCTTCCGCTTTAGCTTCAACTTCCGGTTCAGCTACTGTTTCAGCTTCAGCTTCACCACATCTGACATCATTTCTTCCGCCAACACCACAGCTGACACCTTCAGTTCATGCTATAGCACATGTGGCCCCAGTTGTTCATGTCACAGAACATGTGACCTCGTCAGTTCATGCTGCAGTACAGCCGGATCCGTCCGTACAGACTACAACACAATCAACTCCATCAGTTCAAGCTGCATCACAACGCGGAAGGCGTGGTGCACGTGAGTCTACGTCGCATTGGACAGTAGATGCAATAGGTAAACTTTTCTTTCTTGGTTTCATCTCTATTTCAAACTGCTGAATCTTCTTTTACATGATTCATATTATTAAAAAGAAAAATATTGTAATGCTTTTTTCAACTTGTTTTAACTTTTCTAGTTACTAAATGCTTTGAGATTTCACGAAATATGAGAGAATGTTAGTTCTGCTTGGTTTAACTTAGTGTTTATTTTTAAAGATTCACAAGGAGTTAGCAAGAGACTCAAAATAAAGGTTAAGGATGTTATCAATTTGTCTAGTGGAAATTGTATCGTGGTTGAATTTGATGATATGGATCAACCAATTGGAGAAGGACAAGGCGTTCTAGTGGGATTTTGTGAAAAATTAGCTACTTATTGCTCCTTATTTCCAATCAACTTTGATAAATGGCCCGATTTACCTGAGTCATGCTTCAACCGTTGCTTTGATCAAATTGTAAAGGTGTAAGATCTATGTTATCATGACTAAAATTCTATTTTATGTCTTTGACTGTGTATTTGTATGTTACAGATAAGCTATGTATAAATACATAATCTATGTTAAATACGTAATCCCTAATATCAACTTTGAGCAAGTGATACTCAAAGTTGATATTACATAAAATGATTCTACTGAAGTAGTACTAATTATGATGGAAAACTGGCTTGATGTGCACAAAATCTTCACTGTCCAGCTCTTATCTCACCTAGTGTATGTCCATTTTTGCTACATCTTGCATCCCAGTTGTAGCAAAGAGTAGTTAATTGTACTTGAATCAAATTGGCCTCCATCTTGCGTATAATCAGTACACACACATGACACTACCCACGCAAATGGATATTTTTCCATGTCCTTATTGATGCATGTGGAATGTGTCTTCAAAACATCTACAATGGTCATTGCTAGTACCCCTGTTATCTCTGTATTTTCAGTAAAATTCCATGTCAAAAAGTGCAATTGTCCCTGGTATTGATTCCATTGGTTGTGCAATGTTTCCGTCTTTTGCTTAAAGAACCAGTGTCCCAAATTGATTTCTATGTTCCTTGCTTGCCTCCTATTGCTTATTTCTGTCATCATGAGCTGATTGCTGCTATTCATATCTGCTTTTGTCTTTTGATATGCATCCCAAATGCATAATTGGTTGCACCTATTATCACTAACTAATATTTTATTCCTGAAACCGCGCATTTTGTTTTAGGACATCTGAATCAAATGCACGGCTATATGTTTATACTTCTATTGTAAAGAAGTGAGCTGCAAATAGGCTAAAGATGTGGTATGCGTTCAATGACCCACTTAAGAGCAGTGATGAGATTATGGATAATGTTCCGGATGGGATTCCACGAGATCAATGGACTACTTACTGCAATTACCGTTTTAAAGAAAAAAACTAAGGTATATATTCAAATTCTTTGATTGATATGTGTAATTATATGCTTATTTGTTGGTATATTTAACTTTCAAGTATCTTATTTTGTAAGGAAACATGTAAAAGAAATGCTGAAATTCGAAAGCTGCAAACTGTTTCACATATCGGTGGATCCAAGCCTAACTCTAGAAGAAGAGGTGAAATGGTGCAAATGTTAATTCATATAGTTTATTTTAGTTATTAAACTTGCAATTATTGCTAATTAGTTAAGTTACTTTGACTTGATTTTTCATTTGTAGAAGATTGAGACTGGACAAAATCCTGGACGAGCACAACTTTATCTTGCTACTCATAGGAAAAATGATGGATCATATGTTAATGACGCGGCAAAAGAGATATGTGTAAGTTTTTATTTGTTACAAACTTAATAAAATTATGGAAGCTCATATTTTTGGATATCATTGTTTGTTCTGCACTTCTGCCATATGAACTCATCTCTTTTTCTTTCTGCAATGGGCTATGTGAATACTATATTTAGGAAAAGATTGACCAAACTTTGAGTTAAAGCACCATAGATGAGTCTGAAATTTCGCCAAATGATGTTGTTGGTAAGGTGCTAGGAAAAGAGCACTCTGGAAGAGTAAGGTGCTTGGGATTAGGAGTTGTCCCTAGCAGAGCTTTTAAACACACAACGACACGATTTGGTGTTATGAATGGTTCAAGTTATAATAATGGTTCGTGTTCTTCTGTGTGCCAAGATAAGTACAAACAAGTTTTGGATGCTCACAATGAAAGCAAAGAGAATTACGCTCAAATTATGAATGCTCACACTCAAATGATGAATGCTTTCAAGGCCTATATGATAATGAAAGAAGGGAGGATACATGAAGAATTTGCTGGGATCTTTGTTCCTCCTCCTGCTACAACGGTAAAAAAATTCATAATTTTTTTATATCGAAAGATTTGAAAAAAATAATTTATCTACTAATGTTGTTGTTGCATCTGTTGTTCCTCTTCTTGCTGCCGTTGTGCTATTTTATGAACCAAACAACAAGACTCACTGTAAAAACGGCTTTAAAATATGGTATATATGTTAAAAGATGGTTCTTTTTTACGCACCATGTTGTTTTTGTTTCTGTTTCATCTGTTGTTTTGCCTCTTGCTGCTGTTTTTTTGGTGTATGAATGAATCTCACATCAAGAATTTATTGTAAAATAGCATAAAAATATGGTAATACTTGTAGAAATGGGTCTTTCTTATTTACAATGTTGTCTTTGTTGTTGCTGCATCTTATGTTTTACTTCTTGGTGTTGATGTGCAGTTTTTATGAACAAAACAATAAGAAATCACTGTAAAGGTGACAGAATAATGCAGTTAAAATTGGATCTTTTTTATACACCCATGTCGTTTTTGTTGCTGCTTCATCTTATGTTTCTTTTCTTGCTGTTGTTTCGCTATTTTATACAGCAAACATCAAGCATAAAAATATTGTATATGCATTAAAAATTAAATCTTTGTGTGTGTGTGTATATATATATAAATCTGGCATTTATGCAAAGGCTTGATATGCTTTTGAAACCAACTTGTTTGGGCATGTTCTGGCCTTGGACTGGAGTACTAACCTTTAGCCACCATGAAAAACTTGTATAGTCAGGTATACTACACCACAAGGACCTTTTTCTTTGCATAAAGAACAAATGAACTCTGTTGAAAATACTGATATTTGATACATTTAAGAACTCCTATGCTAAGTTGCCTTCAGATGTAAGGGACGGTAGAGAAACAGAGATCATCTCATACCTCCCATATTCATTATAATCTTCTATTAATTATATTTTTTTTGTAGGTAAATGATACAACTAGAAGATCCATTTCACCCATGGGCTTTAGAAGATCATCTGAAGGTAGTGATTCCAGTGACAACAATTGAAGTTCCTTACAAGTGTATTAGATAATTAAGTATGATACTGGATTGAATGGTTGAAGTAAATATTTTGTGTGTAATAGCTGCAGTAGATGTTTTGCACTTAATGGCTGGAGTAGATATTTTACACTTAATAGGTGAAGTAGATGTGGTGTTTAAAGCTAGTTTTGAGACTAAAGATAATTCTTATGTTACGTTCCTTATGATTTAATGTTATTTTGATGTTACTAATTTTGATATGCAATTTCAATACTATGTTCATGCTTCATAATATTAATATATTTAAATTATTCTATAGAAAATTTTGGGAGCCACAATTACCCCCAAAAATCATATTATTTTGAAAAAAATAACTGAGGTTATTATAACTCTCTAACTAAGTAAAGAGAATGTGCTATGCAAATTGCATAGGTTTAAACCCCTGCAAATTGCTTGATTTATGGGGGTTTCAACCGCCGCAACATTTTCCTCAAAAAAGTTTCAAATTGATTAAATTTTGAAAATACGGGGGTTTGGTTGACGCTAAATCAACCGCCGCTAATGATACCAACGGTCACGAAAAGACCCCCGCAAATTGATTGCGGCGACAAATATTGCAGGGGTTTTTAAAACCGCCACGAAAACAATTTGCGGGGGTTTCTGACCCCCGGAATTTGCAAATTTAACCCCCGCAAATAGTCCTTTTTTTTGTAGTGTAAGGCAGGTCTGACCTTAGCAGCTTCGGACCTCCAGCGAGTAGCATACTTGCGAAATATTTCTGTATGTTTCTTCTTTAGATTCTGAATATAGAACGGTGCATTCTCTGTGTTAAACCTGAACCTGTCCATAAAGTCGGATGCCATGCCTACCCAGCTTGACCACTTCTTTGGATCTTGGCTGATGTACCAAGACAGCGCATCTCCTTTCAAACTCCTCATGAAAAGCTTCATGCGGATTCTCTCATCTTTCATTACTCCAACCAGCTTGTCACAGTACGTTCTCAAATGGACCCTTGGATTCCCTGTACCATCAAACATTTCGAACTTCAGAGGTTTGTACCCCTCGGGCAGTTCAACATCGGGCTGTATGCAAAGATCTTCATAGTTCAACCCCTCAATTCCCTTGCTTCCTTCAACACCTTAAATCCGGCTAGTCAATTTCTTAAGTTCCTCAGCCAGGTTCTTGATGAGCGGGTCTTTTTCATCAGATTCGGGTGTGCTTGTGATAGGTTGGGTGGAGTGTGGCATGGTCTCCACGTAGATGGGGGTGTTATGGTGGGTGTAAAAGTGGTCATTTGTGGAGTTTTGGAGTTCTGGGATGAGTAACGGGGTGTTGTTTGAGGTATGACAGGTGTTGCATTGGTTCTTTGGCGGAACAGTGTGGTGGTGAGGAGCGGGATGAGTCTATTGCTTTGGGATATTTTGAGGAGGTGTAGGATTTTGAGTGTTGGGAAAGTTGATATCTGGGGTGCTGAGGGAAAATGACAAGCTTGCCAGATTCCGAGCCTGCTCGAGCTCTTTTTGGAATTTCGATAGCTTTTCTTCAAGCTGGGATACATTCTCTCAATGAACCTGAGTACCATGACCATTGGTGGCCTCTACCCTTCAGTTGAATTCTCCTTTCTAACGTTGTTCAAATCTTCCATCTTGCCTTTGTTCTTGTTTTTGACTGGACTAAGAGGAGGAGTGGGTGGAGGGCCCCTGGATCTCGTGGAATAGGATGATGTTGCCAGAGTGCACGAACTAACCTTTGGGAAGGGGAATTATAAAACAAAAAGTAAAAACAAAAAGGTAACCAACTTAGTGAGAATTATAAAAAGTATTGCAATATTTAAACACATAGTGCGAGAATGTAAAACGTGTCCTAATTTGGGAACCTCTTTGTGCCCGAGGTGGGCCTAGTGACAAATTGACTTGGAGAACTTAGAATGCTAAATACTAATCCCAAATTGACACTAAATAAATAGGAAATAAGAATTCACTAATGGCCATTGGCCTAATTATATTTTATAAAGCAAAAAAGACAAACTCATATCTATTTGGTCCCAGAGGGACCTTCCTCAGGTTGAATGCTCTCGTTGATCAGATCCTTCAGTTCATGTAGGTTCACCGGTTAAAATGCCTTTGCCAGGTGTTCTCCTTCGTTTCCTTCAGCGTTCTGGTAGTTGGTGACTCTCTTCCTCACTTTTCCTTCCAATTCCAGCAGACTGTATTCTAGATATTCCACCTTTTTGCTAGCTTTGGCGGCCCTCTCTTTCCACTCATTGATTTGGTCATTTTATGGAAGACTCCTCCACTAGTCTAGCAAGAGTGGGGGTGTGCTAATCATACCGAAGCTGGGGACCTCGTTCTTCATTTTCTACAAAACAAAAGGGTTAGACCCTACCCCCACCAGACTCGACTATTTATCATCAACAATTAGCATGCTGCATTTAGTTCTCCAAATAAATGCACAAAATGTGGTGATGTCCATTTGGATTTAGGGAAACCCAGTGGACTTTGGACAAGGCTATCTTAAAGGATCATTATGTGGACAACATAACTGACACGTCTAGGTTTGACCATGATGCATGCACAGTTTGAACAGAGTAAGGTTTCTATGGGGTTTTAGACTAGTACCCTTGAGTGGACAACTCAAGGGGGAAGGCACGGAACCATCGACTGCACTGCAGATTGACTGATTTTACCGCAAATATGCCTTTCCGAATTTAGGGGTAATGATACAGGAAGAGCGCAACCACTTATTATAAGCGTTGCTATGATATTTGTTTGGCACGAGTAGAGTATGATGTTGAGCATGATTATGCAATAATTAAAAGCATATTGGAACATATTTGAAAGTTAAAAAAGCAGTAAATAAAGCAGTTTTATAATTCAAAGCAGCAATAAAGGAACGAAACGAAGAAGATAAGTCAGTCTTGCTTTTGAAAAGAAATTAAATGCTTAAAGGAATTTAAACAAGTAATTGCACATAAGGGGGGTACAAATTCACAAGAACAATCTGAAATGGTAAAAGCCTAAATATCCTCAGCAGAGTTGTCAATGTTGTCGCACCCCCTTTTACCCTCTTTGCATCAAAAAATCGGGTTTATGACATTTTGGGTATAGGACAACTCATTCCTTTTGGGAACTGGGTTTTGCATTTGAAGAGTCACCACCTAATGATTTAAGGTACATTAGGACACATATAAGGTTCACTTCTACGTTTGTTTGATAACCAGAGATAGGGTAAGAGTTTGAAATTATCCTAAGGGGAAGGTGCTAGGCACCCCTCAGGATCCACTTAGTGTGGTTTCCGGCCAGATAGTTTTTATGAATTTGTGCAATTTAGCAAATAGACAATTATAGGCTCAAATAGTAAAGGATTTAAGTTTAAACACATAAGAGTTTGAAAACAATTAGAAGGCAAATTTCGAAGAGAAGTTACAATTCTATAAATACTAAAAAAAAGGAAGGGGGGAGGGGTCCTAGGTTTATTTGTAATATGGATCACATCAATGCGCTGCCCGGTATGACACTCCTCAAAAGAGGGGATACACGTGGTATTATCACACCGGTCATCATATCCATATCTACCCTTCCCACCCCGTTAAGGTATTAAAGCGTGAATTGGTCTCGACCTCTATTGCATGCCATTATCCGGCCCAGTCTTATCAGTCTCGAAGGAACTTAGGACTACTATTCCTAAGAGGGGAGGGATATTAGGCTGACTTTTAGGTTTCAAAAGGTGAAAAAGCTAATGTGACATACAAACACATAGGACTTCACATTAGGGGAAACATGTATGCAATTAAGAGGCTCATGCATACCTCCTCAAGCAAAGCACATAAATAACATGACTTAAACACAATGAGGGCCTGAATTTAAAGTACTAAGGCAAGGAGAATTTTAATTGTTAAGGCAGACCAGTTTATTACATAACTCAGATAAGAAGTCTGAATCAGGCCTGCCTGCTGATTGTAGCAGTTACTAATTAACAGAGCGGATTCAATTTTCATCATTGTCACCTAAGGCTTGCCTAAGGGTGTATTGATGATACCCTATAAGCATGATCTATTACTGGATCAGAATGTGGGAAAGCAGTAACAGTTTTTAAACGAGCGATTTTGATCCTATAGGTATGCTTTCTAAACCGCGTTAAATAGAGGAGTAAGGTTATTTACAACTAGTTCAGAACAGTACGAGTTAGGCTGATTTTAAACTAGACTGGTTTCAGATCCTGTAGGCATGATCGCTATTATCGTTGATTTTTTAATTCCTATAGACATGATATCTAGTTAAACTTGAAACGAAGCAGGTAGGATTTACTTGAAATTCCTATAGGCATGATTTCTATGAAAAATACTAATTTTAACCTTATAGACATGACATCTAATTTTAAAGCTGATTTTAACCATTTAGACCCTATAGACATGGTGTCTAAGTGTGGTAATAGAACATGCAGAATTTAAAATAGGTCATATAGGCATGTTATCTAAATGTAGAATTAAAACATGCAGAATTTAAAGAAACAGATCTGATAGGCATGTTCTCTAAGTGCAGAGTTAAACATGCAGAATTTAAAACAGGCTATATAGGCATGTTTTCTACCCTTCTAATGGCTAAACATGCATAATTGCTCATCCCCTTTTCACTAGCCAATCTCGATGTTCATTACAAATTATTACAGACCAATCAATGAATTACATCAGAAAAAGCAAAATAAGAAGTTACAACCATAAGAAGCCCGATTCTGACTTCCTCTCTGAATTATGGAATAAACCACCTCAAGTGCCATTTGTTTCAAAGACTTTCTCGGACTTGAGTGTGTCAAAGTTCCCTAAGGGTCTCGAGGGGCCCCGGGCAGTGCTTACACCCAAGTTTTGCATAACCAGATAGAGATGAGTGCAGTGTGGAAGGGCCAGCCCTTATGTGTCCAAGTTCAGAGGGAGCTCATGGGTCCTAAGGCAAGGCTCACACAAGCGGGGAAGAACCTAAGTCTAAGAGTATAGTGGAAGTGCAGAAGCAGAGATTTGTTTAAAACTGGGTTGAGAATAGTAAGGGGTAAGGGTAATTTGAAAACCGTAGTAGTAAAGCTAACACTACACAGAATCAGCAGGGGTCAGGGGTTTGGGAATACATTGTTGGGAGCATATGACCCAAGGAGGGGTCAGGTTTGGATATGCACAGTAATAGATGGTGTTGGCATGCCCATAAACCAGCCAGAAAACATAACA